TGGTAGGTAAGTCCCGGATATGTAGGTAGCGAGTAGGACACTCATGTATAGAATAGGCACGCCGTAGGATCCAGTGGTCAGTAGGCCTGGATGGACACTAGGAAAAAAACAATAGTACGGCATTTTTATTTTCCGGAGCCACGAACATGAACAGTACTAGTACTAATGCTCGCACAACAGTTAGCCACTACCAATCATATCATCCTGAGTCAGCTCCGCTGCGATTATCCCACTCAGCTGCCGCCGCCGCGAACTCGTCGACTGTGAAGTGTTGAGTAGCAGCACTTGGGATAGGCTCGTTGGCGACATTTCCGTTGGTGTCTGGTGAGTTGTCGTTAGTACTGTCATGTCAAATATCAGTGTATTACTACTTACCGTGCAACCTTCAACAGCTTTTTGCAAATCCTTGGGATAATACCAGCGTGTTTCGTACCTTTGTGAAGGTGATGAGGAGGGTCAGGTATGTGTTGAACACCGTCGCATACTGCTCCTTGTAAAATTTTGTTTCAGTCCTTGTCCCGGTGGTCCATTCCATGACGCAGGCCTCGACCTATACATCATACAGTTGGTTGTTGTCAGCTCCGACTACTACTATGATGACTGATCCATTACTTACAGCTGTAAGGATTGCCACGATGATGCCAAAGCTCACGCTGCCAGTGCTCGCATCCATGAAATAGGCAGGGAACTTGACCCCAAGTGAGTTCTTCTTCTCGTAGCACCATTTAATCATGCCCTTTGTATAATCTCAGCCTTGAATGCTCCCTTGCCCTCCTTCCGATCCTATAGCAGCAATTAGCATCATGTCGGCCTCCAAAAAACACCTGCACCTTACCTTATAGGTGAAATTCTTACGGTTTTAAGGAGTGACTTTACCAGCACTGCATTGAGGGATGTGGCTTCAGGTGTTTTGTCGTCACTGAAGCCAAACTCTGTCATAACAAGAGGCTGCATGACAGTTTTAAGTTCGCTCCGCAGATTAGAGCCTCGTGAAGTTATCTAATAGCAGCGGGTCAGCATGACATAGGTCATAGGCATCAGACCAGTACCAATTTGTAAGCGTCCTCATCATAATCAATTCTCACTCCATTTGCCCGACACGATGCAGCCCATGCTTCGCCCGACCAGTTGCGACTCTCAACATCACCTGGATAGATTGTCGAGTTAGCGAGAATAGCTTGGTAGTGTCCCACCGCAAGATGTATGATGGATGAATAGAGACGATCAAAGTCAGCACATCAAATGTGGCCACAACTGCCGCCATCACCAATTTTGACCTTCTGAACCACCTGGAGGCCTTCTACCTCTGTGAGTGGTGGAGCCGGGCGCTTCACAGCCCCCAGAGCGGCCATCAATTCAACTGGCTGTGTTTGATTTTATCAGTTGAATCCCTAGTCCAATAAAGATCATTCACCTGTTGTGCCACCATGGACTCGACCGAACTTGAAGATCCTTCACCCCTCAAGCTCGGCGGCACTCCTCTGAATGGCGTTGGAGTATCATGTGTGACTTGGCTACTGTGTGGACCTGCCGTTGCAAAACGGTGTTCAAATCTTGTCTGTTGAACATATTTGCTCAAACTTTCACTTCGAGAACTTTCCTGCATGACACACATTAGTATTATGGCCCTAGTTGGAGCTGAAACATTTACCATACATGGCCCTGCCTCCTCCTCCAAGTCGCCAGTAAGCAATTGAGGATCGATCACTTGTTGCGGCTGGACCCAAGGCACCACAGGTGTGTTCAAATATGCTGAAGGGATGCTGGGGGGGGACATGATGTGTCCGTGGAGTCAGTCTAGGTGGAATACATGAGACCTGACGGTTTCTTGGTCTGCATGTCCCACAGACGTTCTGGTAGCTTGTGCAGGGTAAGTGAGAGCACGGGCCTGATTCGTCATACCACGGAGAGGCACTGCTGTAAAAGTGAACTGTCATGGAGGCATGTTAATGAAAATCTTGACCACAGATCTGCAGACTTACTGAATCTGTAGTCAACGGCTCATCATCATTGCCATTGGCAATGTTGCCATCATCTTCTGCATCTTCTGACTCCGGGTCCAAAGGTGCAAAGTCGTTGACCTCTTCGAGAGCCTGTCTCTGGCGGAGACCTTGAGTTGCATACTTTTGAGTCTTCCTGAGGTCTTGTGCGTGAGTTTGGTCCTCTGCAACATGTCATCTTAAGTTCTTGGTGCCGACTGAGCAAACTTAAATCAACTGACCTTGGGCGATTTTCTTGGATGTGCTGCGACGGCGACGTTGTACATGCATTGTTGGCATTTCACTGGCTGGCTGTTCACCGGTATTCCTGCGACGTGCCATTGAAAAACACAGAGAGTGCGTCAGTGGAGTCTGAAATGGTGGTTGAAGACAAAAAAAAAGACCTCCGATGCCACCCGATATACGTGCAGACCGGGATGTCAGACCTGTCAACCACTCTCCGAAATCTTAAACACATGCTAAAGATCATACCTTTTGAATGCCCAAGTCAGAAGACCACGTCAAATCGCCCAATAATGCCAGCTTGCAAAGATTGTGGTCACTGGCTCCCTACTACATCAGGTCTGAACAAGCACATCGCGAATTCACTTACCTGCCGCCAGAAATGGCAGGATCGCCTCCAAAACTTCAGCATCAATGTGTTTGACCTTGGTGGCAGGTTTGCAGCACCAGTCGAGGACAATTTCGATCTTGAAGATGATGAAGATCTGCATGATGCTAGACCACCAGTTGAGGACAATACAAACAAAGAAAACGTACTCACCTCCACATCCGGGTTCGGTCGAGTTCGATCAAGACCATGTTCAGAGTCGCAGTGTCCAGATTGAAGAGGTCACCGATGACCCTGGTCCTGTCGGGACATGGTGCTGGGTTGAAGAGTACCCTGATGAGATGTTAGCTGGTGCACCATGTCGTCCTGCTGAAGACATTGTGCCCACCAAGTTTGACACCATCAAGGATAACCAAGAAGCAAATGGCGAGAGTGTTTGGGGCCCTTTCAATGACGAGGAGGAATGGGAATTAGCTAGGTGGTTGATCCAAAATGTTGGGCAAAACCAAACCGATGAATTTCTAAAGCTTCCTATTGTAAGGATCATGCCATTTGAAGACAATCATCATCGAACTCACATTCATGCAGGTTCGAAATCATGCCCAGGTTACATACCCAAACAACCGCTCCTTCTTGAAAAAAATTGACGCACTGCCTACAAAAGGACCTGAATGGCACTGTGACCTCATCAAGGTGGCAGGAGACATTATTGCCAGTGGATGGTGAGATGTCATCAGCTGAATTAGAACTCTGGCGGCGCGACCCGGTGGACTGTATTCGCGAACTCATCGGCAATCCAACATTCAAAGATATGATGGCTTACGCACCTGAGCATGCATTTGAGGACAGGGGAGGTAATAGCCGAATTTATGATGAAATGTGGTCAGGGGACTGGTGGTGGGACATGCAGGTTAGAGAGTTGAACCGGAACAAAGCTGTGCTGTTACTTACTAATGTTCGTTGTCCTCATGGCAGGGCAAGCTGCCGAAAGGAGCAACGATAGCACCAGTCATCCTTGCGTCCGATAAAACAAGCCTCTCACAGTTTAGAGGCGACAAATCTGCATGGCCAGTGTATTTGACCATTGGGAATATAGAAAAGGCCACACGTTGTCGTCCACAGATGCATGGAGCCATTTGCTTGGCTACCTCCCAGCAACAAAGCTTGACTGCTTTAGCAAAGGAACTCGGTCCATTGCAGGGTATCGGCTGTTTTCATGAATGTATGCGGAGGCTTCTACAGCCCCTGATCGAAGCCGGCAAGGAGGGTGTAGAGATGGTATGTGCTGATGGGAGAGTTCGTCGAGTGCACCCGATCCTCGCTGCCTATGTTGCCGACCATCCGGAACAGTGTCTCATTACCTGCACGAAAGAAAGTTTCTGTCCTAAGTGTCGTGTTCACAGAGACAGCCGTGGTAAACCTCTGGCTTCACTCCTACGAGATGAAGCGCGCACCTTGACTATGCTGGAACACAAGCGAAACAGGTCGCAGGGTACCCGCCTACACATGTGAGGGGCTGCGCCCTGTGTATTGTCCATTCTGGGCAGATCTTCCTTACTCCGATATCTTTGGTGCGATCACACCCGATATTCTGCACCAATTGCACAAGGGCGTGTTTCATGATCACCTGTTGAAATGGTGCACCAAAATCACAGGAGAAAAAGAGATTGATGAACATTACCAAAAGATGTCCAATTATCCAGGTCTCCTGCCACTTCTCGCAGGGCATCTCCCTTGTATCTCAATGGACAGGGACAGAGCATCGGGAGATGCAACGAGTCTTCATGGGTGTGTTAGCTGGGGCGGTTCAACCAACAGTTATTCAAGCAGCACTGTGCCGTCCTCGATTTTATATACTACGCACAATTCCACGCCCATACATCTCAGTCTCTTGATGCCCTAGAGTCTGCGCTGCGCGAATTTCACAATCACAAGCATATATTCGTGGATCTGGGGGTGCGTAATGACTTCAATATTCCAAAAATGCACTCAATGCAACATTACGTGGCGTCGATCAAGTCTCGTGGCTCCGCAGATGGATTCAACACTGAATTCCCCAAACGCCTCCACATCGACTTCACAAAAAATGTGTATCGAGCAACAAACAAAAAAGACTATGTTGTGCGATGACGAAGTGTTTAGCACGACAGGAAGCAGTGGACCAATTCGTGGCTTACCTGGACTGGAGGTTGCAGAGAAAGATGGATGATGAGGAAGCCGATGGCGATGTTGACGATGTTGAAGGTGGCATAGCGCTGAATGCGGATGTACCCGAGCCACAGCCGCCAAGTGAGGGTGATACACCTTTATCTATGTCCTGGCAGTCCATCCTCCATTGCGCGCTCTAGCAGTTGATTATATTGCCCAGACATTTGGGGCGGTCAATTTCTTTACTGCACTCACCCAATACCTGAATCGAACTCCACCACCCCAAAATCCGCCACCCCCACAAGTACCGTTGTCAGTCTGTCATTTGGACAGGTTTGATGCTTACCGGCATCTGTCAATCCCTTATCCACACTTGCATGCAGTCCATATGTCGAAGTCCATGGACTGCATCCGTGCAGTGCTTTACACCCCTCCTTCTGGTCGGTCAGCTGGTTCGCCAGGACAATTTGATACAGTCCTGGTGCAAACAGAAGGTACTACTAATGTACACACTCAGGGGACTGCATTGGAAGGTGAGCAAGTTCACTGAAACTTACTAGTAGGGTTTTGCATTGATATGGTCTCGGACACTTGTCATAGGTCTTCAAGTTGCGCAAGTCCGCCTGATATTTGACTTACCAATGCACCTGCGCACTACTGGACAGCCTTTCCACCTGCACTCGTTGAATGGTTCAATCCCTTCCGGGCACGCGATGCATTGTTGCAGCTGCACACAGTCTCGCGTTCTTATGCGGGTCAAGCTCCTCGCACTGAGGTGATCCCCATCAGTCAAATTTCTCGGAGTTGTCATCTTATACCTAAGTTCGGCACACATGTCGACCAAACGTGAAGGTGGGATTTCATCTTGGATGCATGCAAGACATTCTACCTTAATCCTTGGATAGACATGTACAGCTTCTACAAATTCCGAACCGCCTGATATGATATGTATCCTTTTGATTAATTCTGCATTATGAAGGTTTATAAAACTTGTGCGCAAATGGTTGTATCACCCTCAGCCTTATTTTCCTCGCGTGAATCGGTGGTCTCAGTCAACCGTCGGCGGAAGGTGTTGATCTCGAGTAACTGAGCTCGACGGTTGGCCTCAGTGAGTGACTTCTCAGTATCCCAACGGTGTTCAATAAGTTGTTGAAGGTATCCAACCGTCACCTCGACAATTTCTAACAAGGATGGACCGTTATTCAGTAGGTATGTGCAACTAGGTCAACGACAACAATACTCACCGTTATCCCGTCGGCGTTGTTCCTCTTCCACATCCGCTCGCTCCCGGGCCCATTGCAAGTTGAGTGCATCTTCCTTCTGCTGCTTTTCTAGTTGGATGCTAGCCCACCGGCGAAGACGCGGACTGTCACGGTGACTCGAAATAAGCACATGTCAGCATTCATATATAATTTGATGTCTCTTACCATTTGGCCTTGGTCTCGTCCTGGGGCATGTTAGCGTTGACTTGGAGAGCCTCACTGGCAGAGGGTGTGCTGGGCACGATGTCGTTGGCATGAGTGTCCGAGTCTGACTCGGAGTTGGCTGTCTGATACTTGGTGGGACATGGGCTGTTGGAGTTGTCAGCGAGTGACCAGTTTTGAGAATTTAGATAAGGTCGCACCGCTTGAGAGATTGCCTGCCATTGAAGTTAGTAATGTGGTCCAATGCGTCCAAGGAAAAAAGACGCATACTGGAGAAAAAAATTGTGTCTACAAGTCCTACAGAGTTGAATGCTGAGTTGAGCCGCC